GGATTATCCTCAAGGACAAAGAATTCTAGGGCTGATGGCTACCATTCTGTTTTTTATAAATAAAGAATTGAAATAGATGGTGAGTAATGACTTTGCCTAAGGTCACATAGCTGGGTGAATTTTTCTTTTTTTATACTATATGTAATTACATTTTATTTCTTTCAGGGAAAGAAAAATACATTTTATCAAAAGTAGCAAAAAGAAAAATTAACTGTCAAAGCACAAAAGAACTGTCTGCAGACTTCAAAGAATGCAGGATACTTACTATATCTCATAGTTCATGATACCTTTCCAATTCCTTTGCTTTTGTACAAATCCTCTAATTGAAACCTATTGACAACTTATGAACTGAAAGGAACATACTAATCCTGCTGTTTCCCTCTAGTCCTGCAGAAAAACAACACCTTATTAATCACTATTTAATCACAAAAGAGTAGAAAGAGAAACTTGATTTTAAAAATTCGGTTTCTAACCATATGTGAAACCTGTAAAACACGTAAAGTAATGAAAGAAATACTTGGTATTAGACTCCAGGGCACCTTTTTATGGGGGGGATGGGGGGTGGGTACTGGGGATTGAACTCAGGGGCCACTGGACCACATCCCCAGCCCTATTTTGTATTTGATTTAGAGACAACTTCTCACTGAATTGCTTAACACCTTACTTTTGCTGAGGCTCGCTTTGAACTTGGGATCTTCCTGTCTGGGCCTCTGAGCTGCTGGTAATACAGGCCTGGGCCCCCATACCCAATTCCAGTGCACTTTTTCTCATAGTCATTCACATAAAATGCTTGCTAAAGATTGAACTGTAAACAAAATAGACACAGATGTTAATCTCTTCCTTTCTTTTGTCTTCTCACTTACTATGGAGGACATTCTAAAAGAGTCTGTACTTTATGAATAGCTATGAGAAAAGAAAAAAAAAGCCAGGACAAACATCTGTGAAATCACTACCAGCTTAAGAAATAGAAAGTTTTCATTATCTTTGAAGCTCCTTCTTTGTGCTTTACTTATTCTATTCTCTCTCCTTATTTAGACATTGAAGCAAAATATGCCATAAAATGAGTACACAAGAAAACATTAAAGATGCCATTTGAATTGGTAGACATCTTTAAAGTATGTATGGCTTGCCTGATGGATTTAGAATGGGAGATTATGAACTTTAATACCAAGAAGGGGGATTCAAGTCTAATGTCATCCTTTTATTACAGAATATTAAACAGGGCCAGAAGATTTTTAAAAATTGTTCAAAGTCAGACAACAACCTACAGAAAATGCTGAAGCTTGAACCCAGGTCTTCTACTTCTCAATTTGTTAGTTGGGAAACAATTACTCTACAGTATTGTCATCATAAGATGCAAAATATTGGGTGGCTTATATGTTTACTAAGAAATTTTTACAAAACTATCCTCAGTTACTATTTGTAGGAGAAAGTACAATAATTTTTTTTAAGTTTTATTTAGGATCCCAATGCAGATAACAAATGGTAGCCATGTCCTTAACGGAATATAACTTTAGTTCTGTTTGCAAATATGACAGCTTTTTTCCGCAAAAGTCACAAGGAAAGCTATGAATCAGAACATTAAAAGAGTCAAAAGGATGATTCCATCAGGGAACAAACATTCAGAGATTTTGAAACCACATTATCCATCACACATCTATTAACTGAAAGGCAGATCTGGGGACCATATGATGCCTAAGTTTACAGTGATTTCTGCCACCACCACAAATCTGATGACAGGGAAGGACTCTGGAGACTAAGGAGTCATTAAGGCAGTTCAAAGCCTCTAGAATAAACCAGAATATTCTAATACAGCCTTCAGTGTGGAACAGATTATAGAACTTCTTCTATATTGTCTTTATTTTAATTTTTCAGCCTAATAGCTTTAGTATTTTCCAAGTGACAATGACACAGGCCTAGAGCACCTCGTGTAGAAAACAGTCAAGTTAAGCAAGGCCCTAATTGTCTTCCTTTTGATATTGGGAACAAATTTGCCTCTCCTAAATTTTTTGGCTCCCACAGAGCAACTGCAAAGAGTAGGGCTGCTTTCTCCCTAATGACTTTTCTAATGGTTTCATAGAACTGTTTGTATTTCAAGAGCCTGAACATGCCGTGTCATATTTAAAGTCAACTGATTTTTACTGTTTACCTTCAATTAGCCACACACTCCACTGAGTGATTTTTTTAAAAAAATTCTGTATTTAATTTTAAAATCTTACAAGTAATACCTCAATTTAAAGATAGCAGAAATGCAATGGAGTCATTATATAGTTTGCTCAAGATTACAAAGCCAAAAAAAAAAAAAAATGGCAGAAATGTGATTTGAATTTCAAGATTGGGGCTCAGTCCTCCAATCTTGTCACTAATCATTTTGACAGTTTACCTCTGAAACACACAATTCTAGTAAGACAAAATACTACTATTAGGGAATTTTTGTTTCATCTTTCAGAAATTTTGGAAGAAAATTCTTATTACAATTTCAGATGACAGATAATTCATCTGATAGTGCTGATGTCCAACACTAACTGCCCTGAATGGAGAGAAAGAAATTATTTGTAGAGTGATCCATCCTTTTGCATGCCTCATAATGGTCTCTTTCCCTTATCTTTTCAAACAAAAATATTACACAATTTACATTTTACACCATTAGTCTTTTATTACCCCAAACTGGACAATTTGTGAGTGAAAACAATAATTAAGTCAAGGCACAGACATAAACTGGAATTGTACCAAGAAACCAAGACAAATGACAGTTTGCTTTACACTGTGTACAAATTAACTTCATGAGGTAGAATTTTGGCCAAATAAGAAAATAAATCACTGTTAAAGTGTGTCAATTTAGAAGATGAAACAATTAAGTTATAACGAATAATCTAGGGCAAAACATACGTCGTCTCCTGCTAAATATACATTGATTTAATGTCATCTTACATGAGAAACCAAAAGGATATTTCAGAAAACAATGAGAGAAATACGTTTCAACATGAAAAAGATGAAAGTCAGAGCTGAATTTGTCTAAATGTGTGAACCATATTGAGACAGTCCAACCAACTGTATTCAGAATATGATAAATGGAGGCATAAAATGTTGCCTCTTACCCACAGTTATTAAGAACGATGATTGCAAAAATCAAATTTAGGCCTCCTAACAATCGATAGAGAACAAATCATGAAATACCACTCCTCTTCCCATATGAGGTTTTGACAAATGGAAAATGATGTAGAAAGGGAACTGAACACAGAACTGATTTCTCAAAGGTCTTGTGTTCCTGTGCTCCTTCTAAACTTTAGGAATTTTATGTAATAAAAAGAATGACAAATGACAAAAAAAAACTATTTTCCTTCTTTCATGGTCTTCTTTTTCTTTCTTCCTCCCTCCCTTCCTTTTTCCCCTGCCTCCCTTCCAACCTTCCTTCCCTCTCTCCTTCCCTTTCTTCCTTCCCTCCCTCTTTTATCAACCAATATGGATCCAGGCACCTCAGGACAAAATGATGGACTTTATGACATTTTCTCCTTCCCAGCACCAAAGATGATCATTTCAGACATGAACATGTTTTTTTTTTGATCTGTGCTATAATCTCAGTGTTTACTTCAGCTGTGTTCTGAAGTAAAAAAAAAAAAAAAAAAGAAAATATTTAAAGTAAGTAGGAGTATAAAATGCAAATTACATTTAATCCATTTTAAGTTATCCCTTTGATTCTTCTGATCAGGTGTTAACACACAAAAAGAGAGCAAAATACTGGAACCCTTAGGGAACCTCATTCAAGAACAGACCAGTAGCTGTTTTATCTTATCTCCCAAATAACAAGACTGTTTCTACATGACACCAAAACAACCTCTGAAAAAGGAAGAAAAAAATAACCTATTTTTTTCTACATGAAGGCAGCAAAGCAAACATTCAGTGCAATTTTTTTTGTCTCCTAGATTTTTTTTTTAGTTGAGCTATGTTATTGGTTACGCAGAGTGTACCAAATTTTCAAACTCTTACTCATACTTTGATAGTATAACTTTCTTCTTTTAGGAAAGCTCTTTTTCTTGAACGATTTCCATCATCTGTGACAAAAAAAATCTAAAAACAATATTTATTGATATGATGCATGCACTTGAGAGAAAGTTACACAAATTGGGTATCTCATAATTTAATATACTATAAATTACCCCCCCCCACCCCCCCACCACCTTCTTTCTTACATTCTGGCATAACAAAGTATTTGCCACATAGTAAATGCTTAATAATATTTTGTTAATAGTGGAGGATTTTTAAAAAAAAAAAACATTCAACTACATATTGTGAATAATAAACATTAATAAATTCTGGAACATTGTAATTAAGGCAGATTGTTGGCTGAAGACATTGGTAGGATATTGCTAAGGAAAATACCCTACCAAGGATTCCAGTTAACACAGTGATTGCATGTAAATGAACTTCACCATTTTTCACTGATAAGAATTTAATATAAGAAGAGTTTTGAGATAAAATAGTATTTCTTACTGATTCAGGTAAAAAAAATTGCCAATGTGGAGGGCAAAAATGGGATAAAGAAATCTAATGTGAAGAAAGCTAATCTATACTATCCTTAATTTCTTTTGGTGTTTTTCAAGTTATGAACAAGATCCTAATATATATTGGGATTTGCTTTCATTAGCTTACAAATATAAATTAGTTTGTCTGCACTCAGAACTGATTTCTGAAAAGTTTTGTGTTCCTTCTAAACTTTAGGAATTTTATGTAATAAACACATTCAAAGTGATTTATAAAGCTACAAATTGTGCATATGTTCCTATTTATTTTTAGATTAAGCTGTTTTCTCTAAATGGTTATGTGTTGCTTTTTTAAATTGTTTATTCTACTAGGCAAGAATTAAGTAACGGATACTGGAGTCACAGAGAAAAAGAGTCTGTTATTGTTTGGATGTGTCCTCCAAAGACCCATGTGTTAAAGGTTTTGTCCCCAACCCTTGGCACTATAGAGAGGTGGGGAAGCCTTTAAAAGGTGGGGCCTAGTGGGAGGTCTTTGGTCATTGGAAACACACTCCCTCAGGGAATTGTTGGATCTAGTTTTTTCCTTCTCTCTTTTGTTCCTCGCCATGAAGCAAATGGACTTCTTCCACTCCACAGGACCTCCATGATGTATTACCTCATCACAGGCCCAATGCCAATGGACCAACTGACCACAGACAGAAACCTCCAAAACTGTGAGCTAAATAAAATTTTTCATAAGTTTCTTTTTCTTAAGTTTTATCTGAGTATTTGTTATAGTAATGGAAGATTGACTAACATAGTGCCAGTAGCTTTAATTTGATTTAATGTTATCTTTTACATTTCTCTTAATCCTTGAATTCCCTGTGCCTGATAACATAAATGGGACATTCAACTTTTAAAGAATGAATAAATCCTTTTCAAAGAATAAGTTTGCAAAACTAAAAAGTGTAAGGGCAGCAAGTATAACATTTTACATTCTACTTATTTTGAGGATTTGTTTTCGGAGTATTCAGAAATTCTGAGCAGTAATTCTAAGTTGTGGCTGTCCATGACAATCATAGAAATGCATACTAAAATCACAAGTGTGATGCCTCAATCCCACCACTAGAGATTATGATAACTTCATCTAAGGTACATTATGCTTTCTACAAAGTCCTCAGATGATTCTAACATGTAGACAAAATGGGAATTCTACATGAGAAAATTGTCCAGGGATACATTTCTTTGCATATGAAATGACAAATGTAGAAACAACAATTGAGTTGCCTGCTAGCTGTTTTCATATTTTTACGCAGAGACGAGGTAAGTTAGTTATGAGTAGGAGACATACGTACCAATCTTATATTTCTATATGTAACATAAATGCCAGAAGAAATTTGGCTTTTGTATCAAACAAGGAGAATATTAATATTAAAGAACAAAGACAAAAACAAGGGATTTAATAAAAAGAAAATTGATTTAATATCATCAAGTGGATCTCTTCTTCTGATATATTTAGAATCATTCATTAATTCTCATAGTAATGTTACCTCCAGTGATTTTTAAGTGGTATAGAAATATTTATTTATAAGTGCTTTAGTTAGTTTAAAGGCATGGATTTTTATTTCAAGATCCACAAAGATAAACTATGCAGACATACATTTTCATTTAATTTTGTTAGAGAATGTAGAAACAATAATCAAGAAACAGATTTGAATGTGATTCATCAGTATTGTAGATTCCTGGTTATTTCCAGTGTGCACACTGACAATCTCTGAGACAATAAAAGAATAGTATTATCCTTATGTTTTTCAAAAGATACAAGACAGACAAGGAGAATGTGTTTGCATATCTCATATCTATGGAAGAACTTGTATGCAGCATATATTTAAAAAAAAACTCTAAAAACACAGTAATAAGACAAAAACCAAATATAATGGTCAAGGATTTAAACATACACTTCCTTAGAGAAAATATGAAACTATCAAATAAACTTCTGAAAAGTTAAAACTGAATACAAGCCATTAGTCAATAGGGAAATGATAAACAGAACCACAATGAGATATTACCATGTACCTACTTAAAGATCTAAAATTAAAAATAATGACCATGTCAAGTACCAATTAAAATATAGAAGAAGTGGAATTTCATGAGTTGCCATTGGGAATGTAAAACAATATAGCCATTTTGGAAAAAACATAGGTAGATTCATGATGTTAAGTATATACTTATCACAAGACCCAGCCATCTCATTCCCATTTATCCAAGTGAAATAAAAAGCTGCACTCATGCAGAAATCTCTGCATGAATATTACAATGCCTTCATTCATTATTGCTGCAAAGTGAAAAGCATCAAAATGTCCTTTCGCTTGGGAAATGCATAAGCAAATCTGGCATGTCATTACAAAAAATAGTATTCAGCAATGTATAATCTACTGACACATATGACAATATGGAGAGTTCTTAAGTGCATTATATTAAGGGGAAAAGTGCAGAATCAAAGGCTATATTCTGTGATTTCATTTATCTGATATTCTTAAAAAGGCAAAACTATTGGTAGAACAGATCAGAAGCTGGAAAGGACTCAGTCTTGGTGGAATGATTCATTATAAAGGATCCTAGGGGATTGTGTTTGAGGGAAAGAACTCTTCTGTATATTTATCCCTTGGTATCCACAAGGTATTGCTTCGAGTAGCCCCTGCAGATACCATATCCACTGGTGCTCAAGACCCTTATGTAAAATAACATAGTATATACATACAACTTTCATACATCTTCTTGTATACTTCAAATCATCTCAAGATTGTTTATAGTAAACTAATAAATAAACATGCTATGTACATAATATACTGTGTTGTTTAAGGAGTTTTGACAATAAAAATGGTCTGTATATGTCCAATCCAAATGCATTGTTTTTCAAATGTGGTGAATCCATCGCTGGTTGAATCAGATGTGGATATGCAGGATGGATTGTATTTTGATTGTGGTGGTGGCTATAAGACGTTGTCCTTACCAAAGCTCACAGAATTACATATTACTAAAAAGGATCAATTTACTGTATATAAATTGTAACTTAGGTTTTTAACTGGAGAAAGAAGAACAAACAAAAAGTCCATGGGATGATGGTGAGTTGTTTCCTTGGTGGATGTGACCTTTAATAATATGTGAAAATGCTCCATGTTGGCTCAGCTTCTGTTGGATTCCAACTTAGTACTCACTCAGTAATGCCCTGGACAGGAACTTTGCACAGTGCTGACTCATGTGTACATGAGCATTTCATCCCTCCATCCTTGGGCTTAACTGGAGACATGTGGATAAACAGAAGGGTGTGTGATATTTAGCCTAGAGAATTCTAACATCCAAAACAAGGACAAACAATGTTCCATCACCTGGTTCATGACTTAGGTCATATGCAAGGAAGAACTTCCCCAGAGATCAGTGCTACCAGACTCTGGAGTATTTTGTAATTTCTAGACTCTAATGAAAAAACACGGGTACATGGCACTTATGAATTCTTTCACTTATCACATATATCTTAAGCACAAGAGCCAAGTTAGATCCCAAAATCTGTGATTTAAAAAAAAAAAACTAAGTAACTTTCTGTCCTCTATAAAAGGAGAGAAATTAGGTTGTCTAGTTGTGAAAACAAATCCACACGCAGATTGCTCAAATTATTACCTTGAAAGCTCCATATAGACAACAGCATTATTTGTAGAGATTCATTCCTCCCAATAGAACAAACTGCTGTAAGCACTTGTAAATAAGTGTACATTCAGCGATTATAGATGCAGTATGATCTGAAATAATAAGGGACCCAGTTCTGGGGGATAAGAAGTACTCTAAAATCCAGACCAATTAAATTGATGTGGAAAATATGTATTTAGTTCTTCTCATAAGACTATCTATTTAATTGCCTATTTAGTTAGGAAATATGTAGAAATTAATATAATTTAGCTGACAGTTAACATTACACTGCCTACTTTCCTATAAATTATGTATAGAAAATTCACACATTCACAAACACAAGAATGTGAGATTAAAATGTCCTGTGATGTGCTGTGTTTCATGCAAAGTTATTTAATGCATTCTCTTGGATCCTTCTTAATGTTCTTTTGAAATTACACTTTACATAAACATAAATCATTTGGTTAAGTCAATTAATGTAGAGTATAAAGCAAACTAGAGTCCTAAACTACTGTTTATGGGTGCATTTTTCTATGTTTATGACTGTAATTCTCAAGGCACAAGCTTGTAGAGCCATCACTTGGGGAATCTGGAAACGTCTGGCATCTGCTGTAAAGAATGCAGTGTCCTGTTTATAGCAAAGGTGTGAGCTGAATTCTAACAGACCCAGAGCAAGCCAGACAATCTAGTCTCATTCAATGCACACTGCCAATGGGGACACTATTGCTATTCTCATCCCACATTCCTCTTGCAGATACACCTTGTTGATGCCTTGGATCAATATTTTTGATATGATACAAGGAAAGATATTAATGTCCTGGATATGCCATGAACAAATTGCTAGATAACTCTAGGTTCACATAAGGATAAGGTAGACATGGTGGAGAAAAAAGGAAGGAAATTTTCATGTGCCAGGCAAGTTCTGAAAAGGTGCTTTGATGTGGTATTTACATGAATTATCACAATGAGCCATACAAGAAGGTAATAGTATCTTCATGTCATGTATGTGCCATCTGATGTAGTTGAAATCTCTCTAGTGTTATTTGAGGGATGTCTGTAAGGATTAGGAAGTCTCTTCCTCAAAGCCTCTCTAATCCCAATCTTTCTAGCTTCCCTAAAATTCTGACTCCAGATAGACTCCCTTGGGTGGAGGCTGTGTTCTGCAGTGTTACCTACAGGGGACATATCCATTAGCTTAACCTGAGGCACAAAAGATGTAAATTTCTGTGGCCCATTTGTGTTTTCAAACTGCTAGCATTTGGGATCTTTAAATAAGATATTGGGTTTCCATGACAATAAATTGTTTTACATTTTAATAATGTTTTATTCATGTGTTTTTAAATAACAATGTGACCAACACAAGAAACAATAAGGAATTTTTCTGAAATATGGTTATTCTAGAAATTTTAGTGGTTTTCAGTGGAAAAGATAGAATAATAAATGCACGAACTCCTAATAATCCATTATTATTAACCAAGATATTGTGACCAGGCTGTATTTTATGATAGCATGAAAATTGTTCTATATTTGATATAATCTTTGAGAATCAAAAATATTGAACTGTGACATATTAAATAAATGTCACATAAAATTATTAAAATTGAAAATTGTGTAGAATATCACAAATATTAAATGTTTAAAGGTTACCATTCTTAAAATTAAATTTCTAAACCTACAAAATATTAATTGCATTGTCTGATAGTCTTGATTTTTATTTCTTTTTTTTCCACATGTTTTATTGGTGCATTATAGTTGTACATAATGATGAAATTTGTTGTTACATATTTGTACATGCACACAATAAAACAATATAATTTGGCCAATATCACTTTCCAGAATTACCCCCCTCTTGCCCAACCTTCCACTCCTGTGTCCCTTTATTCTATCTCCTCTTGATTTGTAGGAGATCCCCACCCTTCCCACTTTCTTTTTCTTTTTCCTCTCTAACTTCTACATGAGAGAAAACATAGGTCCCGTGACCGTTTGCATTTGGCTTATTTTGCTTAACATAATGATCTCAAGTTTCTATCTATTTTCCTACAAATAATATTTTCATTTTTCTTTATGGCTGAATAAAATTCCATTGTGTGTATATACCACATTATCCTATTCTCCAGATATAGAAAAATTTTGTTCATTTTGGTTGCATTGTTAAGATAGCATCCAAAACTATCTTCAAATTGGGCATTAGATAAGGTATTTCCACAGAAGATAAGGTTTTTCCCTCTTTTTGCAAGAAAAAATACTATGTCTTGCCTTGATTTTGCTTTATTTATTCAAAATTTTTGGTTTTAATCAATAATTCTTACATTAATTCTTGTTCACCAAGAGCAAATATTCAGACACATGCAGGGAATACTATTGGATAGTGTAAGAATGGCAAAGCATCTCGAGTTCCTAGACTAATAGCTGTAGAGCAAATCATGTCCTGGGAAGGATTAATTTTGTTTTCAAACTTGTTATTTTTTGAGACATCAAGACTTTATAAAGAATATATTATGTACAAACACTTACTAATGCTTATTTTAATTTCAGGAATGACTCACTCTTAATTGCAGAGAGATCTGGGAACCACCGTCAAAATATGGCATTAGCTATAAGCAAGACTGATGAACAGGATCCTTAGTGTTGAGCTGGTCCTCTGCTACCTCCGCCTGTCTTTGATCCCAGAATCACCAGTCTTAACTTTCACCCGTAATTATCAATTATTTCCTTCTCTTACCTGACTTGAGTCAGCAAATGTTTTTGAACCAGGATTGACCTTTTACATTGTTAAGCTTCACTTCTTAAAAGAGAAGTACAATACCTTTGTTTATGTACCTGATTTTTTTTTTTTGTATTATGAAATGTGTCCATTTCTTGAGAATTATTAGGAAGGAAATCCCACATGGAAACACTGTCTCCATCATAGAGATCTCAGTAGACTTGGATTGAGGCACAGCCTTTCAGTCTTCATTTGTAATCAGCACCCCAGATCATTCTTATGATCACCCAAGTTAAGAACCACTGGGTTGCCTTTGCAGGTATTTTACATTAACATGTAAATATCTCTAAGTTGGGCATTACAGTAAATTATTATTAATCTCTATGACCTTACTAAGAACTTATTACATAATAACTCCAGTGCAGGGCAGAATGCTGAAGGTATCTTGAAGGAGAAATATTTTAGAGATCAGCACTAGGTAAACACTCTGGGGATCTATGGAAGTTAGTACAATCAATAAGAGGAGAAATAGAAGTTTACATGAAGAAGAAGAAAACTTCAATCATTAGGAGGTCAATTTATGCTACCTTACTATTTTGCTTAGGCAATTTCTGCTAAAAATGAGAGTTGTGGGCAGGAGGGAACTCCAGGGTCTGGGATTGTAATTCCTTACTGGCAGGTAAGGCAGAGTTGCAGAAGAGCTTTTTCAATCTGGGTAATCAGATATCTATTCTGTGGGGAGAATAACATCATGATGTGTGTGTTCACCAACTTGGAAGTTAGGATTGGAGTTGAGGGTTTTACTGAAGAAGTTACTACTTCTAGCTAAGCAAGTTAAGATATTTTTGACTAGGTATCGGATAATCCTGAAAAGCTGTTAGTGGGGATGAGCCAAATTCATTCAGAACAACATGATGTTCTGGATGTAAAAGGTCCTTTTTTGTGGGGTAGAGGGTACCAGGAATTGAACTCGGGGGCACTTGAACACTGAACCATATCCCCAGCCCTATTTTGTTATTTTATTAGAGACAGGATCTCACCGAGTTGCTTAGCATTTTGCTTTTGTTGAGGCTGGCTTTGAACTCAGGATCCTCCTGCCACAGCCTCCAGAGCCACTGGGATTACATTCTGCTGCAGATCTGTTTCTAACATACCCAGGTTCTTTCACCAATGCTGAGAAATGACTCATTCTAAATAAACAAAGGCTAAAACAACAAAACAGAGATTCCAGAATCTAAGCTGGAAATGTAAGAATGACATTCAAAGCATAATCCATGGGGCAGCATCCTCAGCACCAGGGAGCTTGTTACACAAGCAGAACCTAGGGGTATACCTGGACCCACTGAGTCAGCACCTGTATTTTAACAAGCACATGATTATAATGCTCATTAGTTTGAGAAGCAGTGAACTAGGCTTCGGTGCTCAAATTTTACCATGCATCAAAATCAGCTGAAAAGAATATGAAAGCACAGCTCTCTGGGCTCCACTCCCAGAGTTTCTCACTCAATAAATCTGTGATGGGGACCAAGAATTAGTATTTCAGCCAGGCTCTAAAAGGTGATGCTGATGTTGCTGGTTCAGGAGCCAAATTTTAGAAACTACTGGTCTAAGAGATGCAAACTCTGTTACAGCCTTCTAGTTTTTATATTTCTTTCCTTTAAAATTTTTTAAATTAAAAACTCCACATCTCAGTCATCTAATACTAATAGTTTATTTAATTTCCTACTATCTAATATGTCATCTATAATTGACTCTTAGTAATGTTTCTTTCCATCAGTTTATAACTGAGATTTCATTGTAATATAAAGATAATCCCCAGAATGGAATACCAGCTGGCAGACTCTTTATAAGTAGAATTTAACATGTCCAAAATATATTCCCTTTTTATGATAGACCAGAACAGTTTATGAGGCTTAAGGACAACTAGGCTATACATTAAGCTATATGTGGAATAGCAGCCTATGGAAACTATGAAAAAATTTTCTGTCTATATAATAAAAATGGGATGACTAAATAGACTTATTAAACCCTTTCTGCTAGAAATTTAATTTGTCTAAATCAGGAGAGAATTTTTAATAGGTAGCATACCTACATTGAGAGCATAGTGAAGACTATAGAAAGATGGGTTTATGCAGAAAAGACTGAAAAGAAAACTGGGAAGAATTAATTTTTATAACATGTCCAGATGTGTTTTTAAGATAATCTACATAAATGTCAAGACCAAAACTGAATTTGAGAGTTTGTTCTGTCTATCCTGACCTTTTTCACATACATAACTTGACAAATCTCACTGTGGTAAGACTATATACTTAAAGTGATGGAATTAACCTGAATACAACTAGAGTTTTGATGAACAGACATCCCAGTGGTTATTACTGATGTTAGTCAAAAAACATGTCTCTCCATGTTCTGGAAGTAGTTGGATTGCATTTCCTGGATCCCACTTAGTTGGATGGTTTATCAGTCTGAATCCTGAGGGAACAAAAAAAAAGACATGTATCAACAAATAGATGAAGATTATTTAATAAAAAGGTTATTGTTAGGCTATGGCAGGGCTTATAGAAGCCAATGAAGGTGAATGTCAGCAACGAGAGAGAGCCATTATCCCTACACCTAAAGGTTGGGAGGGAGTGGTCGTGTGAGTTTACAAAAACCAGAGTAATTAGCTGCATAGAGAATGTCTTAAGTTGGCTTTACATCACTGTGACCAAAATATCTGACATGAAAACTTAAACGAGGAAAGATTTATTTTTATCATAATTTCCATGGTTGGTTGGATAGTTGCATTGTTTTGATCCCAAGGTGAGGCAAAACACCATGGTGGAAGGGCATTTCAGAGGAAAGGGGCTCAGCTTATGGCAGATAGGAAGCAAAGAAAGAAAGAAAGTAGGAGTGAACGAGAGGAAAGGAGTCAGGGATAAGAAATATCCTTCCAGGGCCTGAGTCCAGTTACCTACATCCTCCCACTCAGTTGTACTTCCCACAGCCTCTCCACCTCCCCTAGTCCATTCAAGTTATAATCCATCAGTGGATTAATCCACGGATGAGGTCAGAGCCTCTTCATCTAATCATTTCCCAAATGATCCACATTGAATATTGTTACACTTGGGGACCAAGCCTTCAACACATGAGTCTTTGGGGGACACTTCATATCCAAACCATAACGGAGAAGGCTGATCGACTGGAAGTATGTGTGGGCTACTATTGATATTTGACAAGGAGAAAGAGAGAGTAACAGAGTCTCAGAAAAGAATTATCAAAATTGCAAGCAGGATTGAAGGGAATAGTTTGAAATTTCAGCCACAGAGCTAAAACTTTAAATGGCCAACGGTTCTCATTCATAACTGGTGAAGGGTTTAATTGTGACCATTTTTAACAAAGTTCTGTTAGAATTAAGCCTGTGGCAAGATTCAAATTTATTCATGTCTTCCACATTCATTGTAAAACCTTTGGAATAGATGAAAGAATTTCAGAGCAAAGGCACAAATGCGGAAATCTATTCTGAAGAAAAGGAGACTGAATGAATATTGGGATCCACCAGCCAAATCTGAAAGGGTCAAGTATTCGCAATTAAGCCAGGAGGAAAAAACAGGGGTGGGATATCACTAAGAAAAATAATAAATCTAAACAAGTATGACTAGAAAACGTCTGTGGAGTTTTTTGCATTTGGAGCTTACTTAGATAAGAAGGCTGCAAGGTTTTAAAGAATTTTAATACCAAACAAACCATAAACCTGGACTAAAATCCTGTGTTTATTGTGAATGTGGTTGTGTCATCTTGTCCTTATTCTATCACTGTGAAGTTAAAAGATAAATTGTTAATTCGTTGAGCTTCAGATCAAAAGGAGCCAGACACACACTTAATGTGGAGACTATTATGCATGACAATTTGGCAAAGAAACTAATGAATGCTTACAAGATGCTGGGTTGAGCTTAGTGACAAGATTGGAGAGCGTCTTGAATTTGATTTCCTGGGATGGGTGGAGGGGAAGTTTATAATTTCTGCAGGAGAGGGAGGAGGTGAGTATTTGATGGACAGCAATTTGAACCATAGTATTCATTAGTCATGTTTAGCAAAATATTCCCAGTTATCTTTCTTCTATGCACTCAGTAACATCTCAGGATTGGAATTCTGCAACTCTAACTGAATGGCTTCATGTCACTAGTTTTGGCCAATAAGTTGTGAGAAAAAATGAAATGAGAAAGTTTCTTGTGGCAAATGCAATTGCTGATGCAAGATTTTCCAAAGCTCTTTAATTATGCCTCTGGGTCCAATAATATTCTACCCTACAACCAGAATAAGTAGAATCAATAAAGAACCACACACACACAAAAAAAGTATATAAAAAATATTACTGAGGTAAAACAAACAGGTAAGCTCTACTTGCTCTTATTTAATTTTAAAAACCACTGTTACAGACTATGTAAATCATTTTCCATATTATGGTCACACAACTGAACAATATATTATTGGTCTCCTACTAGGTCTGCTATAGATGCCACCTCTGAATCAAGCCACCTAATGGTTTAAAACTGCTCTGTGAAAGTTGCTTTTCACTATCTTGCTGGGCAAAATTTGCTTTCCTTTTGTTATCATCCCCTCTTCTCAGGGAGACAATTACCTTTCACTATTTTCTCATGTGCTCTAATGAAAGATGCTTTTAATAGCCTAATGATTAATTGCAGGGTTAACTATTCCTAGGAAAAGGTAATAAAATGCCATGAGTCATAAGACTTTCTGATCAGTAGCTTTTCTTGAGATTTACAGGATCCAGAACCTCTGGTGGCTTACAAATAACAGTAACCTATGTATCTGACAAGCACCACTCTAAATCTATAACGACCCTACCTCTTATGTGATATGTCTCCTCCAAATCCTATGAAAGCCTTGAGCCTGCGAACCCTAAGCAAGATGATATTTTTAAGGACAAGAAACCCCATCTTCCAACTTGCTAGCCTGTTGCCAGTAAAACTCTTTCTTCCTCCCTCACCTATCTCTCAAATGTTTGGCTTCCTCAAGCAGCACGGGAACCTGACATTATGTATGGTTCAACAGATACATAATATACGTGAGAAAGTGTCCTCAATGAAGTTTGGGAGATAGTGTGTTATTGCAACATGATTTAGCTCTACCTGATTAAAAAATAAAAAAAGATATTGGTTCTTGCAGATAATAAGAATATCCTTTGTGGAAAGAGATTCCTTTCTATCACCATATATTTAAGGTTGAGCAAGGAATATACAGAATGACTTGTTATAAACTATTTCAATCTCTTTCGAGATTATGGCTCAATAGAATTTTAAGCTGAAATTTGCTGTTTCCATGCATAGATGACTGTGGGGCATATAATTTTGTAAATGCAGACACAGCTTACAGGATCTTAATTTTCACTTTGATATTTTGAATCAATATGTCACTGTGAAACGCAGTTGATTTGAATTTGGAATGTTTCTAAAGATGCTTATCACTTAAAGGTATAATCAGTGTGGACACTTTTATATGGATATCAACACTGATTAGATATGACTCAAGCTGTTTTTTTTTTTTATTCTTTTGTTGTAGCTCTCTCCAAGAGATGTTCTCCCGGACAGAGTCAAAATAAAAGGATGTTTCAAGGTTAAAGCATTTGTCCTTCTCAGTCAGCATCCAGATAAAGTAGATTCCTACCCCATACTAGTTCTCTCAGGAAGCTTCTGCTATTGTTTCATCTCTATTCACGAGAACTTGAAGAAACAACTTCTAGAAGGAAGATACCTTTCTTAGTGCTGCCTTCTTTCAGGCTCAAAGACTCATTGGAATGTAGCACAGAATAAATAACATTTCTAATACTGCATCTGCGAGTGAGGGGAGGAAAAAGGGTTTTATTTCAACATGAATTGTCATGGAAGGAAATGAAGCTTGGCAAAAACGTATCTGCTATGACATTATGACAAAGAAAAAATAAGAATACTATTTTCCCAGGCTTTATCATGATAATTCTTCCACGAATGTTATTATACTAAGATCCCTGCAGAAATGGCATAATTGGCCAATATATTTGAAGTGTAGGTGGAATAATTTTTATAGAAATTATTATGGATAATGCTGTGAAATAATTTAGTTGCTGCCTTTCTTCTTTTATTTCCTTCTTTCAATGTGTCTCAGTTCATGGCGAACTCTTTAAACCCTGTTCAACGGGGGAAAATGAATTTAATATGACTGGAAGTTTAGAAATGAAATATACAAGAAATGAGCATTGATTCCTCCAGGCATGTATTCTATTAGTGTTTTTATGGGAGTAATAATTAAAGTTTTTAAAAAACTTTAACATTACTGCATTTGATCACCATTTGCATATTTGGAATGGTGAATACATTTGGATATTGCAAGACATGTCTTAGAAACATTGTTTGTGAAGGATTATTATATTAGATTTCTAATAGAAAACAAAAATACTATTAGGATAACAATCACGTCTTTTGGCATTTGGTACTAATAATTTTGTGGTTTCAATAGTTAAATAATACTGATTTAAAATACTGTAAAAATGAAATTCATTTATGCTTATTAATTTGGAGAATATCTACAATATACTCTTAAAAAACTTTTAAGAACAAAGGTCAAGTCACTGGATATGGTACAATGGAATTTTTGTAAAAGTTGCATACACATGCATCTCCAGAGCTAAATAAATGTATTTATGAACAAGATGTATTTTCATGTGCCTGGGTGAAATGTCTTAATGCATTCCAGTTGGGTGTATGATTAATGCTTCAAATACTCCTTTTGGTTTTGTTACCATTGCATGTGAAACATTTGCAATTTTAAAAAAAGTGATAAAGTAATTATAAACCACTACAAAAAAGACTATAAATATAAAAGAGAGAAGTGGTGGAAAGATCAAGTTCTCCCTGCTGTGTTTGAAGAGGTATACATGTTTTCTTTATTTCTCAAATGACATTATTAAAATCATTATGGATAATATCAACCCAAATACAATTTGATGAATTATGGATTTTAATTCATTCTTATTATTCAAAATAAACTTACTTCATACAGTTCCATACATAATAGACATTTTTACATTACTTTTAATGTCTTAAAGGAGTTAAAATGTATAATTATAGAGAACATATTTCCTTTTTCTCTTTAAGCTTGGATAACAATTTCATTCAGCTTTGCCTCCATGAATGATTTTTATTTTTTGCCCTTTAGAAGAGCAGTTTATGTTATGAATATTTTGGGAAATGATGCAGCTATTTAAATAACAATAATGGATTTTCATCAGCAATTTTTCTTTTTCTGAGGTTAGCCATGGTCTGAGACACACTTAATTTGTGCATTAGAACTTTGAATAGCACAATTACCAGAACAATTACAGACTGCTGTAGGAATTATTTGCAAGGCAAAGAACAAGGTCAGCACAAATGGTACACATGTTATCAGTGAAAAAGGTGTGAGGGATTAGGACATATGATCAGCGGTCAAGAGACTGTTTACATAGGTCATGTATTTTTGCATTTGTTTACTTGAGAAATGTTTGTTGAATGCCTACTGTGTTTCACGTTTATATGGTTGAAGCAATGCAGATATTTTCCAGCCTCATGGACCACCTAAGGATTAATCAAATATTGCAGAAGCTTTCTCACCTGCCCACTTTTTTAACTGATACCCTTAATTCCCTGGTACTCTCTATTCTATAAAACTTATAAGGTGAGGCATCAACAGGAAAGCAAGGAGATGCAACTCCAAACTTTGGTTTTTGTGTACCAATGAAAGAAAATTTAAAATCAGACACCAAAAGCTATCCAAGAAAACTTTATTATAAGTGACAGTAGAATGGAGGTGAGGTGAAAAGAAAACAAAAGCAAACTATGGCTCAAGCAGAGAACACTCTCTAGAGAGTGGGCCATCTCCAACAGAGAATGACAGAAGAGAAAAGGCTAAGTTGTTAGCAACTGAGATCAAAAGAGGTGGAATATTCAAGAGATTTGGGAGGATGAACACTCCATCTCTTAATACTAAGGGCATATACTTTCATCTCCTCTGCATGTACAAATATAGTTATATAACATTATATATATGTTATATATATATCAGTACTATTATATGTAAATGTTTTCTTCATAATTGTTACATGCAGCATACCAAACTTCCTTTATCATGTAATCTTTGTTTTCCTTGTTACTAATTACTTTCCTGTTATTTGCTCAATTATTCTAATAGTTACAAATAATTCATTGTTATAATCACTTCCAGGCTATAAACATTTCCAATCAGTTGAAAATATACCAAGTAAGATTTCAAGTACCTTCCCATGGCCCCCTCCAGTCTGTAATAATTGCTTACTAGCCTTACAAAATAGTTGTTATACTCAACTCCGCTCTACCCCTCATTTTGGGAACTCCTAGTTGTTTTCCTCCTATGTTTTTGCATCTGTGTTTTCTTCTTTGTTAATTTTTCTTTCTTTCAACAGTCTTGGCCAATAGCCCCTGGGAAATGATATATAAGAAATAATAGTTTAGAAATTTTTATCTATTTGAAGATATCTTTTTTCTAACCCCACAATTCATTTATATGTTGGTTGGTTGGTATAAAATAGAAATAGCTTATGTGTTTTATATAAAATTATAGGTTTTAAAGTTTGAAGGCATTTGTCCTTGTTCTTCCATGTTTCAGTACTGATTTCTGGTACTTTCATATGCTCTAATTTATTTTTTTCTGGAAACTTCTTGTGATGATTCATTTTATGTGTCAAATTGACTCGGCTAAGGGATGCCCAGATAGCTGGTAAAACATTACTTCTGGGTCTCCCTGTGAGGGAGTTTCTATAAGATATTGGCATTTGAATTAGTAGACTGCTTGAAGAAGGTCTAGTCTCATTGATGTGTCTGGGCATCATGCAGTCCATTGCGGGCCTAGATACAATTAAAAGTAGATGATTGGTGAATTCTTTCTCTCTTGTGGAGTTGGTCCATCCATAATCTTCTGCACTTGAATTTCAGAGCTCCTGGCCTTTGGGCCTTCAGATCTGGAATTTAGCATCAGTGACTACTCCATCCTGAGACATTCAGATTTAATATGAATTGCACTACTTGTTTTCCAGCTAGAAGACTGAGATTTCTTAGTCTTCATGATCTAATGAGCCAATTACCATATAAATTCCTTCTTCTCTATGTATCCTGTTATTTCTATTTCTCTGGTGAACTATGATTAATACATTTTTAGTCTCTTGGTTAAAATTTTAAAGTATATGTCTTAATATGGATAGTTTTATTTCTTGCTATAAATATTTCACAGTTCCTCTAAATCTGGAAATATTTACCTTAAAACTTTAGGAAGTCTACTTTATGTTCTTTATATTTTTCTTCTCCTGGATTTCTCTGCTCTCATTTTTTTGGGCTCCTATTAATTATAAAGATTGGTCCTTCTTCTTTGGTTTACTTTATTTCGTCATCTCGTTTTCTTTCCTTTTGGTCTGTTTCCTGGAAGATTTACTCTACATTATCTTCCATATGTTTTATTATATTTTAAATATTTCAATTGTATTTTTAGTTTCCAGAAACCCTGCCTTATTGACAAAATATATATTGTTAAGTATCAAGGACATATTTTCTATGTTCTAAAAAGTGATATATTATCTTTTGTCCTTCTGAAAATATTTTCTTCTTTCTTTCCTTCCTTCCTGCAATTTTAATCTGCCTCTGGCATTAGCATTATCTCTACTTCCACATTTTTCTCTGCTTATTTTTTCTATTGAAGACTATTAGTGTACAGTGATCTTAAGCTTATTGATCATCATTAATAAGCTGTTTGTGAGTTAGAAGCTATCTGTTTTATGAGCTAGGATTTGTAGGCTGATTGTCTTTATTCTTGGGCTATACCATGGCCAGCTGGCATTTTCAGGATGCAAGTACAGGTCTCTATTTGAGGGTCAGAAAGAACCCTCCATTCCCCCCCCCCCCGGGGGCAGAGATTAAGCCACATTGTATTTTAAACCTGTCTGTGACTACTCTAACAGGGCCACATTATGATTATTGTGAACACCAGGCACTTTTGCCTTCATGGATTCTTTCCTCCACAAAAAGATAAAATAAAGCAAAAATTATATTTTGTGACTGTGTTTGAATAAGAATGAATTGGATGCTCATTTTTTTTTAGTTCTGATTGTAAAATACAAGAATTTTGTGGGCTCTTATAAGTATCATGAGGCTTCAGCAATGTTCTTACTCTGCCTAAGGCATAAATTGGCCCAGGATATCCATCTTCTTGAAGTGGGGGAAGAAATCTGGGCATCTATTATAGTTTTATCAAAGCTTTCAACTAATCCTTTCATTTTTCAGCCCACTATCCTCACATATGCCTTCATAGGTGCCTCAATTTCTTTCCAAACTTCTGAAAATATAGTCTTGTTGACTTCATGACTGAACATGGAATATTCATAATTCTCTGCTCTGGTAAGTTTGTTACACTTTTTCCTCAGCTTTCCATTGTCTAGAATTTGTTGCCATCGGTCATCTGCTCTCATCTCTTCCTTTGCTCTTTGCCCTTATATTTATCCATTTATTTTGACTCTATTTGGTTTACCAAGGAAGTGGAGATAAATGTCCTTGCACAATGTGCCCACTTTCCCTGAAGGTCAGCCGGCAGGCAGACAACAGTGAGATGTGATCATTGACCCCAAAGGTATGCAGTGTGGCAACTTGAGGGTGGATAACCTTTTCTAGAAAGAGCAAGGGGAATAGAGTAGTCAAGTGTTTTATGCAGGCGCTAGGATCACTTTGGTTTTCCGTGTCACATCTTAGTTCCATTTTCTTCCAGTACAAGCCTCTCTAGCTTTATGATGTATAAACCATCTCCATCTGTAGTCATGAACCCTCAGTGTCCTCTGCCCACCTCACCAGTCACCACTTCTCCATATACTTTATCTCCTCTACAATTTTTTTTAAATCTCCTTTTTCCCCTCATGATCACTTCACCCTCATTTTTTACAATCATAAATGTATGTCTTTACTCAAATTTTATATTATGATTTTAATGATTTCTTGGAGGGGAGATGTGATAAAAATCATATGTCCATCAATAATTTTATACTAGAAGCTCCTGAATAAAAATTTCAAGTTGAGATCATTATAGATAAAGGGAATGAATATAATTCATCAATTCTCAATTATCTCCAGAAAAGCAGAAACTGGATTCATATGCATGTGATCAGTACACAGAGAGGAGCTAAATGATCTCATATTTTGGAAATGAATTTCACCTCAGAATTAAAAGTGGCAATAAGTGTAATGATTAGCTTTCTAGATGTGTGTGTTGTGCCCTCATTCTGATGTAAGAGGACCAGATGTATAATATGCACAACAGCATTGCCAGTGCAAACCAAGACAATGGAGAATCAAATTATATAAAAGAAATCTTACATTATAGTTTTTGACAAATTAATTTTAATATGCAGATACATAACACTAATAGTTATATAAGTGAGTAAGAAAAGTATTTTTATAAGTTTCTACAAAGAGAAATTTGAAAGAATAAAGGCATTTATGCACTCCTTTAATCTCAGGAAGGAAAGCAAAACAAAACAAAAGAGCTAGAGACCTAGGCAGGAGGATTATCAGTTCAAAGCCAGTCTCAACAATTTAGCAAGGTGCTAAGCATCTCAGTGAGATCCTGTCTCTAATAAAATACAAAATAGGGCTAGGGATGTGGCTCAGAGGTTGAGTGCCCCTGAGTCCAATCCCCAGTGCCCCCACTCCGCAAAAAAAAAAAAGCAGTTTTATGTTAGCAGAACACACTATCATGCCCTGATTATAATATAATAAAAAAATCCCATTAAGGAATTTTATCTTAAAAGAGTAAACTATAGTTGTAACTTTGAAACTGCTAAAAGTAACTGATGTTAAAGTGCTAAATTCAAGTAGAAACAGAATTCTTTTACTAGTAGTAAGGGGTTATATTATGTATTACATAGGTTCTATAT